GCAGGCTAGCAGCTTTTTGATAAACTGATTTGCAATGCTGTGTTAGACTAGGGCGAGTGAGGTGTTTATGGTTTAGAAGTCCCCTGTAAATGCTTAGAAGAATCCTTGGCAGCTCTGCCAAGACCCAGACCTCCTATTTTATTATTGTTTATTATATATTTGATTGATAAACCCCCCTCCCCCCAGAGGGCTCAGGGCGGCGTCCATCATTGTCAAACATACAAAAGTAAAACATAAAAACACTTAATTAAAACAGAGACTTGTCTGCTCACCTCTTTTGAACAGCTTTCTCACTAAAGGGTGTATATGTCTTGGAAAGTTTTCCGCAAAGCACCAAGCACATGGTTCTTGAGAGACATACCCTTCTTCCTTTTTTAAATGCTCACCAAACTTTTCTTTGGACTCTTCCAACCCGTGGGCCTCTCTGGCTTTGTTTCTGGCAGAGGGCATTATTTTTTTAGTCCTCCTGTGACTTGGGGGCAGTGAATGACTGTAATGTGCTGTCCTAGTCTGTGTTCAGACATGCAGAGTGGCTATAGTGTAGTGGATAGAATGTCAGGCTAGATCTGGGAGACCTGGGTTTGAATCCTCCCCTCTGTGATGGAAGCTGGTTGGGTGACCTTGAGCCAGTCACAGTCTCTCAGCCAAGCCTACATCACGGGGTGGTCGTGCCGAAAGAGGAGAAAAATGTTCTAAGCCGCTTTGGGTCCCCTTCAGGGAGAAAAGCTGCATATGAATAAACATGCAAATGTAAAAATAAGTTTGCCTGGTTCTTCCTTCTTGCACGGAGTGTGATTTAAAATGAATTCTGGTTAGCTGTGATGAATCTATCCAGGTACACCAAGTTCTTTCCGCTAACTGAGTTCATAAGCTAAGGGAAAGTTTTGTTTGTGGGGCCTTACTCTGGTTCAAGGAGCTGCCGTGGCTGAAGTGGTTAAGTCGCTGAACTGCAGGCTGTGGAAGGTCAGTACTTCAGCAGTTCGAGACCCGGGTGCCGCATGATGGAGTGAGCTCCCGTCTCTAGTTCCAGCTCCTGCCAACTTAGCAGTTTGAAAGCAAGAAATTGCAAGTAGATAAATAGGGACCGCTTCGGTGGGAAGGTAACAGCGTTCCGTGTGCCTTGGTGTTTAGTCATGCCGGCCACATAACCACGGAAACATCTTCGGACAGCGCTGGCTCTTCGGCTTTGAAACGGAGATGAGCACCGCAACCCTGGAGTCGGACTCGACTGGCTTTCGAGCAAGGGAGCCTTTACCTTTACTCTGGTTCAGCTGTGTGCCTGCATTCACATGTCACAGATAATTGGAGTTAGTCTGAAGCCACCATTCCTTTCTCATCCTCTGTATGGGAGTTTTAAAAAGGAACGGGGAGGAGGCAAACATGCTTTTTGGTGGGTATTAGTGTGCTTGCATGCCTGGAAGTCATGGCGACTTCTGTCCTGGTGACCCCTAGTGGGGTTTGGATGTTTTCAGAGAGGTGGCTTGGTGGCCTACCTCTGCGTCCCGAACCCTGGTATCCCTTGGAGGTCTCCCTTCCAGTTACTTGCCAGGGTCGGCCCTGCTTAGTTTTCAAGTTATGCAGAGCTCGGGCTTGCCTGAGCTATCCAGCTCAGGGCTTATTCATGCACATTTTTGTTCAACCACGGTTCAATCAGAACTCTGCGATTTCTCTCTGAAGTTGCATATTTATTTAGGCTTGCCGACTCTGTGTTGGGATATTCCTGGAGATCTGGGGAGTGAAGGAGCCTCACTGTGGTATAATACTATAGAGACCATTCTCTGAAGCAGCTGTTCCCTCCGGGGGAACTGATTTCTGTCATCTGGAGATCAGCTGCAATTCCAGGAGATCTCCTGGCCCCACCTGGAGGTTATGGAAAAGTATATGACACTGTATATCATAGATGTATGCGTAAGGCAGATTTTGTGCTTTTTATTTTTATTTTTTAAAAAAATTCTATACTGTTTATTTATCAAATATTACCAAGCAGGTTTCACCCAAATAATACATCATAGTGCAGGTTTACACTATGCTTAAACATTCAAACAGCACCTTGTCAGCGTCACAATCACTAGTCCCAACGGACCGTAGTAATTTATAGGTAAAGGTTTCCCTTGCTCAAAAGCCAGAAGAGATAAGCTAGTAAAATAATGAGATTTGAAATGTAATAAATAGATAATTGAAGGATAGAAGATGGAATAAGCCTTTTGCTATATCTTTAATGTTTGTTAGTGGTAGTTATATGTTGTTGTTTTTATATATGTCTGTAGTGTATAAAGAATAATAATAAAAGTGTACCCTTGGGTACTGAAAAAAAAAAGCCAGTCAAATCCGACTCTAGGGGGCGGTGCTCATCTCCAAGCCAAACACTTTTCCATGGTCGTGTGGCCGGCATGACTAAATGCCAAGGCGCACGGAACGCTGTTACCTTTACCCGTATCGAATACAATCTTTTGCAAGGACCGCGATGTACATACAGGACATAAGGTGCAATAATTTCTCTTTGTGAGCATAAAACTCTTAAAATAGCCGCGTATTTCCTAGGGTCCCATCAGAGCCCTTGTGGCAAACCTAATAACCTATCTAGGAGAACATATCGCTCAAGTTCTATCAGGCAGCACAATCACTAGATTAGTGATTGTGAAACTGACACGGTGCTGCTTGAAGGTTTGAACTTTGATGTATTGCTTGGGTGAAACGTATGTGTGGTAATATTTGAGTATTTATATAACGGTATAGAAAAAAAAATAGGAATAAAAAGCACAAAATCTACCTTAAGCGTACATCTGTTATACACAGTGTCGTATACTTTTCCATGTCTTCCTAACATTGTGACCCTCAGTTTTTGTATTACCCTCCTGAAGGTTGGCAAACCTATCAATTGTTGGTGATGCTGAGGTATTCAGCCCTCCTCCCCATTTTGAGATTTCACTTCATGGGCATTAAACTACATTGTGAAGAGCTACTGGAGTATCTCTCTAATTTGAGTGCATGGGAAACTGTGGCAAGTGAAGTTAAGCATAGGTAAGCTCAAAGTTGAAATAGATAAACAGACCAAAAAAAATCCAAACTTTGTTGCTGGGGCTTGAAATGGTGAAGGCTGAGAAAAACACAGAATTTGGGGTTGTGGAGAGTTTGAGGGAAATACTGGCTCAATGTGTGGTTGTGGCCAAGGGCATGAAAACAAAATGGCTGATATAGATCTGTGGTATGGAATCGTTCGGAGTAATGTGAGTGGATTTGGGTAACAGAGGGGGGTGGAGCCCTTCGCTTGGAGGAAAGGTTACAGAGTCTGGGACTTTTCAGTTTAGAAAAAAGATGATGGGGAAGGGGCATGGCAGAGGTTTGTAGAACTATATATGGGGTGAAGAAAGTGGATAAGAGCGCCTTTTCTCCCTTTCCCATAATGCCGGGACACCTGATAAAACTCACAGGCCGTTGATTCAAGATGGACAAAAGGAAGTAGTACTTCACTCAGTAGGAAGTTAAATAGTGGAATTCACTGCCAGTGGATGTTGCAGATGGCCGTGAGTGGAGATGACTTTGAAAGGGGATTAGACAGCATCGTGGCAGATAGATCCACCCAACGGCCACTGAGTGTGGTACCTAAAAAGAACTTCCCTGTCCAGAGACACTAAGCTGGATAGGCTTCAGGTTCAGAGTTTTAGCGTAGTCCCCTTTTAAAGCCACCAAGCCCGAGGCCACTGTTCTTCCCCCTGGCAATGTTCCATGGATACCATGGACTGCCAAAAAAAAGGTCAAATAAGTGGGGTTCTAGATCATTTCAAGCCTGAACTCTCCCTAGAAGTTAAAACCGCTAAACTGAAGCTATCATACTTTGGCCACATGCGAAGATGAGTCGCTGGAGAAGACAATGATGCTAGGAGAAGTTGAAGACAGCAGGAGAAAAGGAAGGGACCTTAAGGATCGCCTTTCCCCGTATATACCCCAGAGAGCACTACGGTCTGGGTCTCAAAATCGGCTGACCCTCCCTGGCCCGAGGGAGGCCAAGCTAGCTATCACCAGGGCCGGAGCCTTTTCAGTGGCGGCCCCTACCTGGTGGAACGAGCTCCCGGAGGAGATCAGGGCCCTGCGGGACCTTTTGCAGTTCCACAGGGCCTGTAAGACAGAGCTCTTCCGCCAGGCATTTAAGTAGGGGCCGCCACTACTGCAGGCCGTTACTGCAGGCCCCTACTCCAGGCCGTTACTGCTGCAGAGCTTGGTCTGTGGTTTTAACATCTGATTTTAACATCTGATTACGAGCAGAAACATCGTGGTACATCTGGGCAGTGGAAATTTATTCTAGCAATATACCGTCTAGGTTAATTTAACAGCCGCCAGCACTTTGTATTTATAATGTTTTTATTGTATGGTTAAATATTGTGAAATTTTAATGTAGTTATGTTTTTATGGAAGCCGCCCTGAGCCCGCCTGCGGGGAGGGCGGGGTATAAATTTGATAAATAAATAAATAAGGCCCAACATGAGATGGATGGACTGGGTCAAGGTAGCCACGGCCCTCAGTTTGCAAGGCCTGTTTCTAGCAAAGGTCATTAATTCACAGGGTCGCCATCCCGAAAGGATGGTTCAGAGGCCATCAATTCATAGGGGCACCATAAGTCAGAGATGACCTGACAGCACTGATCACACACGCAAGATGCATGTGAGGTTTGGATTTCATGGGATAAGGAAGAGAAGCTTCTCTTTCTCTCCCCTTCCCACCCTCCCCCTTTCCCCCCCACCATGTGTCGTGTCTGTCTTCTGTCTCCCTCCTCCCCTCCCGTTGCCTTTTCTCGAAAGGCCCGGACTCTTTGGCCTTTCCTCCTGGGGAAGATGCTCTCAATCCCTTAATCATTTCGGTTTTCAGTTTTTCTGTCCTTTGAGGGCTCATGGCTAAAAACTTTGCTACGACTGCTTTTATCTCCTGGCAGCTGAAGCCCGCCCGCCTGCCATTACCACCTCCCTCGTCCATTCTTGGCTTGTCCGGTGTCCTGAGTGGCTACCATGGATAACGAGCAGCTGCAAGCCCCTCCTCCTTCCAGCGGCGCTGGCGCCATGACGACGACCACCACCACCACCAGCAATGGGCGCCAGACCGGGCCTCAGATCTCCGTGTACAGCGGGATCCCTGATCGCCAGACCGTTCAGGTAAGTGGCAGGGAGTGTCTGGGAAGGTTCTGGGTCCTGCTGTTTCATCTTAGGCATCCCTGAAGAGGCCCTAACTGGGATGGCACAGGCTAGCTTGAACGCATCAGTTCTTGGAAGCTAAGCAGGGTCGGCCCTGGATAGTGCTTGGGTGTCAGACCACAAGTCCAGGGTTGCTCTGCAGCAGGGGTCATTTAGTAGAAAAAGAGCTAGGGGAACTCATTAGGGGAACTCATTAGCATATGCCACACCCCCTGACATCACTGGAAGTGTGTGATAAGGCCACACCCCCTGACATCACCGGAAGTGTGACATAAATACTTGCAGAGTCAACACTGCTTAGCTTCCAAGATCTGCAGTTCTTGAGCTGATGGGGATCTCTGGACAACCTGGACAGGTGGCACACTAGTCTTAGTGAACTATACCTCCCCTCAAAAAAACCAGTGCTTTTTAAAAAGTATGATGGCCAAAAAGGGGCCCGGCGGTGGACCTGCAAGGCCGGCGGGAGTGCAAGGAAGCCCCGCGAAGGCCCTCCCTGGCCCCAGGCAGGCAGGGGTGGGGAGAGGTGGGGAGGAAGCAACTTACCCTCCCTCTTCTCCTGCCTCCTCCTGGCTGAATGAGGGCCGGAAGCGGGGCGGCCAGAAGCAGGGGACGGGGCTTCGTCATGTGCCCCGCCCCCCGCACCTCACCCGGGGGAACTGCGATCCCCCGCGAATCTACCTCTGCTCTGCAGAGGCAGGCAATGGTGAGCCACCTCTGAAAGTCTCTTGCCTTGAAAACCCTATGGGGTTGCCATAAGTCAGCTGCAGGTTGCCAGCACTTTACAACCACAAGTATCCTAGAAAGGCAGATGGGTGGGGAGCGATATTAGGAATTGCTCTACTGCATGCTGCTTTACTCTGTGAGCAGTTCACTGATGGAATTCCCGGTGGCTATGAGAGTGGATGGCTTTGAGAGGGATCCAGATGGGTTTGTGGAGGGGCAGTCCGTCAATGGCTACTAGCCATGGTGAGGAAAAGGGAACCTCCGTGTTCAGACAGCAGAAGTGCTTTGAAGACTAGTGTGAGGAGGCAGCATCAGGGGAGGGCCTTGGCCTCTAAGCCTTGTTTTGTTGGCTGCTGTGTGAGACAGGATGCTGGACTAGATGGACCACTTGTCTGATCCAGCAGGATTTATGTTGATCCTTGGGTGCCCCTGAAAATGGTAGGTTCTGCTTTCGATTACGATGGCTGGAATCGCTGGTGGAGCCCTGCCCCCGGCACTCCTTTGTGGATTTTTTATTGTTGTTGTTCAGTCGCACAGCCGAGTCTGACTCTTCGCGACCCCATGGACCACATCATGCCAGGCCCTCCTGTCTTCCGCCGTCCTCCGGAGTTTGCTTAATTTCATGTTCGTTGCATCGATGACACTGTCTAACCATCTCCTCCTTTGCCGTCCCCTTCTTCTTTTACCTTCAGTCTTTCCCAGCATCGGGGTCTTCTCCAGCGAGTGCTCCCTTCTCATTTGGTGGCCAACGTACATTTATTTGGGCTACTAGTGGAGCAGTCTGTGGCAGGAAATTCCATAGATTGGCTGTGAACTCATTGGTATCCTAGTTGCCAGCAGAATAAGCTGTGATCTGGGAGGTTCCCAAATTGGATCTCATCTCTGCCACAAACTCACCATGTGGCCCTAGGCAAATTATTTCCTTTTGTCTTCAATCCCCCATCTTCAGTAAGGGGGGGGGCTGATCATCCTGTGCCCTACCTTGCAGGGCTGTTGTGAAATGCTCTGAACCTTTAAAGCACTGTAGAAAAGCTGCTTTATTACTGTAATGTCAGTTATTGATCTGTAACATGTGTGTCTTTTTATCTGCTGTTTGGTGGTTTGACAGTGCTGGTTTTTAACATGGTTTTATTAACTGTTTGTTAGCCACCTTGAGGGACCCATAACTGACATGCAATAGAGAAATCTGGTGCTGAAGTTATAGATCGGCACTAGGGCAAGTGTAGCATTCAGAGAAATGCACTTTGAATCCAGAAGCTAATAAGCCATCTCCTCCACCTCCCTCTGGTGAGCTATTTAGCATTGTGTATTCAAGAAATATGCAACATTGGCATGTGTGATTGACAGATAGCCTCTGGGTAGGCCAGGCTGGTAGAAATGGTCAGAGTGATTCACATCCTCGCCTGGTCAACTGTTCTGACTTTTCCAATCCAAATTTTGTTCTTCTGGTTTTGGGTATCAGCCCTTGTGATCTCAGGTTTAACGAAGAGGGAAAGGAAAATTAAGGAAGCCACACTGCTAGGTGATTAAAGAAATCAGTGGTAAAATTATGACTATTGTACTATATAAATCCTTATTTCTTAATACTTTAAAAACTGTGTCATGTTAGAAGTATCCCATTGTCTCACAAACAGGGGACAATGCTGGGCTATGTACTAGAATTAGGCTCCAAGCAGTCTAAATTGCCATTCTGTCCAAATATGAGGTCTTTTGTTGGCAACCAGTGGCCAAGATCCTCCTTCTAAAATATTTTCACTATTCATATGCACTCTCCTCCCCTTTCCTGTATGCAAATTCAATCAATTAAATGTCTCAACTGCAACACAATTTCCCCCCTTTTTAAATTTAAGTAAGAACAGAACATCAGGGGGAAAAAATAACAATTACATGATGCTTTGTTAAAAGCAAAATTGAACCCCCCAAAATCTGGTGGCCGGGAATGGTTTTAATGAGTTAATCTAACCAATTAATCAGCTGAATGTTGCCAGTTGTTCTGTCTGTCCTTTTGAGAGCACACAGGAGGAATGTCTTTCACCACTACGAAATCAAGACCAACTCTGCCCTGACCATTTCTCTCTCTCACAGATCTCCAGTAACTTTTAAAGGAATGAAGCATCACAAATAGCAGACCTGGAGATGCCAAGCATTTCCTGACATGGCAGCAGTTATGTTGTTAAATCTGTTTAATATATATATATATATTGCATGGATCAATTTATTCTCTGGCAAACGTTCATTATATTATTAGAGTGGGTTAGATCAGAAGAACCCAACAGAGAGCCAGTTTGGTGTAGTGGTTAAGTGTGCGGACTCTAATCTGGGAGAACTGGGTTTGAGTCCCCACTCCTCCACATGCATCTGCTGGATGACCTTGGGCAAGCCATAGTTCTAACAAGAGCTGTCCTTGAAAGGGCAGTTCTTGAAAGAGCTCTCTCAGCCCCACCTACCTCACAGGGTGTCTGTTGTGGGGAGGGGAAGGGAAAGGAGTTTGTAAGCCGCTCTGAGACTCTGAGTGAAGAGCGGGGTATAAATCCAATCTCTTCTTCTTCTTCTTCTTCTTCTCTTCATTACCATCAAAAGGCCTCTCTAACCCACTAGCAATGCTCCCTCTAAGCTGTGGAGTCTTGTGAGCAAAAATTCTACTTTGTGAACTACTGCCATTAAAGTTGTGAGTGAGCGATTTGGCTGCTGCATAAATTAGTTTGCTCTGGAGCCCTCATTCCTGAGCTAAGACAAAAAATGTGTGAGCCGGAGGCTAAAAAACAGTGAGCTAGCTCACACTAACTCAGCTTAGAGGGAACACTGCCCACTTCAGACAAGACAGCTCTATTTATGTTGATGTATTTCTGATACATGAATATGATAACACCACTTTCTGGCATACATTCAGTGAGAACCCTGTACCTGATGGCTGTTGGCCAACTCCTTAGGGTTAGGTTCAGGCGTGTAACTGTGTTGGTCTGAAGCAACAGAACAAAGTTTGAGTCCAGGGGCACCTTTAAGACCAACAAAATTTAATTCTGGGTATAAGCTTTTGTGTGCCACATGACCACGGAAACGTCTTCGGACAGCACTGGCTCTTCGGCTTTGAAACGGAGACGAGCACCGCAACCCTAGAGTCAGATTCGACTGGCTTTCGAGCAAGGGAACCTTTACCTTTACCTTTTTTACTCAGAATTAAACGTTGTTGGTCTTAACCATGCCACCGGACTCAAACATTGTTCCTTAGGGTTAGGTTTGATTTCTGTTTGCTGTCAGGCCATTCAAGGCCTGGGGGGAGAAGTTTAGGGCCTGGGATTTTATCTTCATGGTGCTGTGAGCATTTCTCCTCTGTTGGGGAGAACAGCTGCTGAAATGGAGATGCCTCCCATTTATTCCTCAACCTCCAAAATGTCCCCCCCCCCCCCCCTTTTTTTCCCCTTGGTGGGGCATCAATATAGCCTGTGTTAAGAATTTCTGGGTTGAAGTGCAAGCTTAAGTCTCCTTATGCCTTTGCTTTTTTGTGTGGCCATTCTGTCTGCACTTTTACTTCACGATGTCTCTTCACCTCTGAGAGAATTTTTTCCCCTCAAAGACTCTCGGGGTACGTTCAGACGCGCCGTTTGATCTGGTGTTGCCACACTTCAGAAACGGATTTTATATGCACGATCACACAGTCAACATCTGCCTCCCATCCCCAGCCATTGGCTTCCGCCTCAAAACCGCTTTAACCCGGAGTATTTTGTTACCAGGTCCCAAAGTGGTGTTTTCTCAGCTCTCCCGTTTAAAGCCGCATTTCCCTGCTGTGTGATCGCTCCTCCGGTGTCAAGCCACTTCCGGTTTAAACCCCCTCCCTGCTCGAAAGCTGCCCGAGGCTTCCGCTTTTCGCCCGCCATTTTTTTAATGCGTTGGCGGTGTGCGCATAGGCGAAGCTCCACCACCGTGTTTAGAAAACCCAACATTTAAATGGTCACTTGTTTTAGAGTTTAGATGAGTTCGGGATCTCACAGAGGCTATTTTCGGGTCAAACTTTTAAAGGGAAGTCTTTTGTTGGAGGGGTTGGATTGATTCACCCTGGTGGTTCTACACAGGCACCATGATAGTTTTGCCCCCCTATTCTACGGAGGGGCGCTGTGTGCATGCGCAAACTGAGATTTTTTTAAAAAAAACCAGCCAATGCACGCTCCCACACGTCGGTAGTGTAGACGCTGGAGGGCGACGTGACTGCGCGGTGAGGCGGAATAAGGGAGATGTGTGAT